AGGGATAAGAAAGGGGTTTTCAAAGAGCTAGCATGACTGAGGAAGAACTGCATGACAGAACTTGTTCTAAGCATTTTAAATTCATTATCTACTCTACTCCTTAAAGCAATCCTACCAGATACCCCATCTTACAGACGAGGTAATAAACAATAAAGGCTGGATTGCTCTAAAGATACAGAAAGTGATGGAATCCGAATCTGAACACAGGTCAACTAACTTCAAAACCTTTGCTCTTAGCCAATGCTGGCAGAGGATGAGCAGGAATTAGCCAGGCAGAAAGCTGCAGTCTTGAAGTTAGTGCCTCCTAGACGAAGGGCAGGGCTTAGCAAAGCCAGCAAAGCCTGTCCTGCCCCAAGAACTATACTGATACCAATATTGGGAAACCATGGAAAGGAAACAAGTTACAGCTGAAAGCCAAGGTTCTAGAAGTAAGCCAATAATGAGTTTTGCTTTCTTTCTATTGAGGTGTAACCCATATTGAAGACTGTGGTCTGTGATCTTCATCAGTATTTTAAGTCCTCGTTGCTTTCAACAAGCCTATCACAAGCACATGATCCTTCCTGCAATCCTGATGCTGCATTCTTCTTTACAGTAGTCCAGCTTCTCAGATGTCTGGCTCATCATGCAGACTGATTACATGGATACAGTCTTGATGCATACCTCTTAAGACTCTAAAATCATACAGTATTCACTTGCACTTTTCAAACAACTGTCTCTAGGTCTATATAAAGGTCCCATAGTTAACCATAACTATGCCTCTGCATAATAAGTAAAACACAGGTAAATAGCTTTCTGCTAGTCTCTGCTTTTCGCCAAGACCTAGTTGACCTGAGCAATTATATCCCACCTTCCATGTCCTCTTCTGAAGCTGGCTTGAATTGACAGGCAGCGCCCTGTCATTGTACTACTGCAACAAGTTTTGAATAATCTTCACGTTTTAATGTTCACTGTTAATGATATTGTTCCATAATTTCTGCATTCTTTTGGGTACCTTTCTTTGGAATAGCACAAATATGAATGTCTATCAGTTGGTTGACCTGTAGCTTGTCTTCCAAATTTCTTGGCACAGAAGGATGAGTGTTTTCAGCATTGCATTCATTTGCTGAAACATTTTAATTGGTATTCTGTCAATTCCTGGAGCCCCTTTTCTCATTAAGGCCTTCAGGGCAGCTTGGACTTCTGCCTTCAGTACCCTCCTTGTTAATCACATGTTAATGTTAATCACATGACTGACAGGCCATCAGCTCTTTGCCGCACAGCGACTGTGTATTCCTTCTAACTTCCGTGGCTGTTTTCTGTGTGGTTCAATATTTTGTCCAGGTCACTGTTGTAAAGTGGCGGTGAGTCAGGGTGAGCCACAGTAACCTCTGTACAGGAGAAGGAAACATGGCCTAGTCTTGTATCATCCTCACAATCACGCCTCTCCTCTGTTTAAGCCCATTGTGGCACCACTATGTCAATCCATCTCACTGAGGGTCCTCCTCTTTTTCTTTTTAAATAAATCACTTTATTAGGGCCTCTTACAGCTCACATAACAATCCATACATCAATTGTATCACGCACATTTGTACATATGTTGCCATCATCATTTTCCAAACATTTTCTTTCTACTTGAGCCCTTGGTATCAGCTCATCTCGCCCCTCCTTCCCCTACCCTGGTGAACCCTTGATAAACTATAAATCATTGTGATCTTCCTCTCTCCCATCATCCACTGTCTCCCTTCACCCTCATTTCTGTTGTTCTGCTGTTCTGAGGGGGTAGTCTTTCCCTTCTGTGATGACCCACAGAAACGTCAGTATTGCAACTTGGGGCTGTCCTTCCTACTTCAGTTCTCTCAGCTTGAGAAAGGCAAGCTATGTTCTTGCTTTGAGAACACCTGGTCTTGGTATAACACATTGTAATACTTTGTCCTCTAGTGTAACCTTTTGGAATCTTCTGCTCAGCTGTTGTGGACCTCACCATTTCTTCCATTTGCTTTAACTACTCTATGTTCAGGGGCAAGTCTCCGAGTCTCTTTGGTTTCTACCGATTTTATACTAATACATATACTTTTATATAGTGTCATATATACATGCACTTTTATGGATGAGTGTATATGTAGACATATGTCATTACATGATTTATTTTAAATGCGGGTAGATATCCACACATAAATCCATGTTATCTATTTATGGACAGATAGTATATCTGTATAAAGATATTTAATAAACATCTAATAGTACACACATACTAATAATTCAGATATTAAAAAGCAATGGCTTTTATCATAGGTACAGAGTAGGCAAACAATTTGACTGAACACACCATGAAACCTTTAATTACTCTCTTTCAAAACTTATTCCTATTTTTAATATAAGTATACATGTTAAAAATATTAATGGAGGGGCTATTAGAGTTTCTTTGCAACTTCAGCAGGTGAAACTTTCTAAATTCGAATAGGCCAACCAGATTTCCTCCCTTAAACTGTCACATACATAGAAAATTATAATTTATAACAATCATAATAACAACCATTTATTGGGTACAAAAGGTGCTTGGCAACAGTTACTATATTTAAACCTTAAGGTGACCTGCAAGGTGGATGTTATAACCCTTTTTTTATATAAAGAAGACAAAGATATAGGGCAATTTTCCAGTTGCTCTTCTGCTTATATAACATGGGATGACACAATCTAATTTCTCAGGATTCTTCTCTAAAGCCAAACGTTCTGTCAAAAGGCAATGGGGTGCCTCTCATACAATTTCAGAAAACACTAACTTGGAGGTATACATGTATAGGCAGTTAACACACTGTGCACATTTTAATTAGGAATTCTCTGCACATAGAGGCTAGACTAAGAAACAGCTAAGCACAGTGATGATTACTCCAGGCAACAGACAGCTTAGAACAAGTGTGTCTCAGAAACAACCACCCTGTGTTTCTCATAATATGAAGCATCATCTGCTTGGTCATGTCTTCCAAAACAAAATCTAGTCACTAAATGAGCTTCATTTTTCATTCTATACAAAAAAAAAGGGGGGGGCGGGGAGGGGACTCATTCATTGAGAACCAATGGGAAGTTCTTAACCCATTTCCTTATATTGCATGAGATGAAAATGCTTTCTGTCCAGAGAAAAGCATCGGTGGATGCTATGCCTTTTGAGGACAATAATCAGTATTGCAGAGGTGATAAAGTTAACCCTTACACTGCTCTAAAGAAGAGTGGGGCCGTTTAAAAATAGGATGATAGTAAAAGTATCCAGCTAAACCAGAGGATGTACGCTGGTACAGGTAGGAACCGGAAACACAGGGAATCCAGGACAGAGCCCTTCAGGACCAGTGGGGTAGAAAGGGAGACTTGATTACAGGGATCTACACATAACCCCTCCCTGGGGGATGAACAACAGAAAAGTGGGTGAAGGGAGGGAGACATCAGACAGTATAAGACATGATAAAACAATAATAATTTATAAATTATCAAAGGTTAATGAGGGAGGGGGGAACGGGGAGGGAAAGGGAAAACGAGGAGCTGGTAACAAGGGCTTAAGTGGAGAGCAAATGTTTTGAGAATGATGGGGGCAACGAATGTGCAAATGTGCTTGATACAATGGATGGATGGATGGATGGATGGATGGATGGATGGATGGATGGATGGATGGATGGATGGATTGTGATAAGAGCTGCATGAGCCCACAATAAAATGATTTAACAAAAAAGAAAATAGGATGATAGTAAAATTCGAAAGCTAAACACACAGAGGAAGAGAGGAAAAGCCTTCTCTCCCCATTTAAGAGAATTCAGCTGCCTTCTTCAGAAATAATAGGCGCTTATCTCTGACCATCTTTCTAGGCACTAGCAAGCCTGAGAAGGGGAAGTAAACATATGTTTTAGAAGTGTTTTTTGTGTGTGTGCATTTAATGTAGGTTTTAATGAACTTCTACAACTAACAGCGGTGAATAAGGTAAAAGCTGGCTCTCACCTGTCCACACACTATTTGGAAAGATCATAGTGAAGAAAGCAATACCCAAGGGCTAAAGGGGAAGGGGTGGGGGGGCACCTCCCTGTGGTGGAAGCACCATTGTGTCCCCTCAACAGCCCAAGGGAAGTGGAGAAGAAAGGGGAGTAAACCAGCCATGCAGCCAAACTGCACATCCCCTACTGGAAGAGACATATTTTTAGACACTGAAACGGAAATGCACCAAAAGAAGGGGAAACTACAACCTCTGAATGAACCTAAGAGTTTTCCTTTTTAACCTGGTTTTTACATTTGTTTTTCTTCTCCTATTTCAAGACCCCGCCTAAAGCACATCTCCCACTCTCCTGGATGGAGACCGCATCCACGGTCTGCGCCAAGGCAAAGAGCAGGGGGTTCTGGAGCTTTAGGTTACGTAAATTCCAGCTCTGACATTTGGAAGGCGCATAACCTTGACCAAGTAACTTCAGCGTCCAAAGACTCAGTTTGTAGTCAGTAAAATGGGTAGATTATGTTACTGTAAAGTTTCTGAGATTTCAACACACACACACAAACGCATGTTACCGGATCCTAGTAGGATGTCGGTAAATGATGTTTGCACACTGCGCAAAACCGCGGGATTTGCACATCATCCAGTTGCACAGCATGTGTGATTTACAATACCAACCATTCACCTCATTTCAAGAAGAAAGCTACTTCTACCTCTCCGTGGTTTCAAAAGTCTGCCGAACCCAGGAAATAAATTCTCATCAAGTGCGAAGGACTAAGTTACCCTGGGTTCTCCTTCCTGCCGGTTAAGGGCAAATCGTTAAGTACAACTCAGACTTGAGCAGAAATGCGTAGTCTTTACAAGTGCAAAACGCAGAGTATTCACATCTCGTGGGATGGAGGGTAGGGGAGAGAAAAACCTGCCTCGATTTACCAGACTGAGACTGGTTGGGAAAGGGGAAAGACCAGAAGCACTGCCTGGAAGGGACGCCCCGCTGTCCTCTGCGCGCTGGAGGGGAAAGGACAGGAGAGGGGGGAGGGAGGGAGAACAGGGGTACCTGAAGACTCTGGCCGCCGTCTGGTTCCTCCTCCACGCCGTGCCCTGTTGCCGCACCCCCTGCACTATCTCCTTCTCGTTGGGGAGCCGGTACACCGGGAAGATGTAGAGCCAACAGAGGACGACAACGCAAAGGGCACTGGCTCCCACTGGTAGCCGGGTCCGCGGGAACTTCCACGCCAGTACAGCCATGGCCCCGCGGTGCGTGTGCAGCCGGACCCGCCCGCAGGGGCCCATCGCATCCCCTGCGCCCGGGGCAGAGGCGGGGCCAGAGCCTCAGCCCTGCACTTGGCCAAGTGACAGCAGCCGGTCCCTCCACCAACGGGCCCCTCTCGGCACACACACACCTTCCAATTTCTTGCTTGCACGCGCACTCGCGCTTCTTCAGTCCCCACGGCCCCAAGGGTCAGCGCAAGAAGGATTAGAAGGCAACTTTTCCAAGGGTTTCTTCTC